ACCCTAGCCTGAGCTGGCGGTAGTGAGCCCCGAACTCAGCGGTCCACTTCTCGAGGATCTCGACGGACTTGGCGCGAAGGGCGGAGGCGACGGAGGAGGGAGGGGGGAGGGGGAGGTTTCGGCGGAATCCGACGGTTAGGGTTAGGAAGAGGTCGAGGTCGGGGACGAGGAGGGAGCGGAAGAGCTTGGAGCGCATGAAGAGCTCGTCGGCGACGAGGAGGGAGAGGAGGCGGACCTGCGAGTGGGGTCGCCGGAGGAGGGGTTCATGATGGTTGAGGGCGGCGGAGGCGCGTCTCGCGCGCGGAGTAGCGGGCGGCGGATTTGATGGACTTGAGGAGGCGAGGGTCGACTTCTTGGGATGTCGAGCTGGCGGCTTTCTCGATTAGGCCAGGGATGATGGCGGTGGATTCTCCTCCCATCTCTGACATCGATCCCCTCTTCTCTCTTTCTTTTCTTTTGTTTTTTTGGTTTGATTGATCGCTGTTGCTTTTACGTATCCGGTTCCAGCATTCGGCCAAAACGTCTTCGTCGTCGTACTTTGGTACGCAGCCTCTCATCCAATGTTTGAACCAAATATCAGAAAACACCCTCAGGTATGACTAATCATCAGATAGCCCCCTAAAACTACGAAAATATCAGGAAACCACCTTAAGTTTAGGGGTTATCAGAAACCCGCTTTAACGTCCGGATTTTATCAGGGAAAAAACCCCTAAAAGTTACCTTTTGAGAGGGGTTTTTTATAAGATCTTAAAATTAAAGAGCATTTGGATAAATGAAATTGAAAAGCTAAAGTAGATTTGTTGTTTCCCTCATCTCTATACTTAATAGGGGTTTTCTGATATTTTGAAAGTTACGAGGCGTTTCCATATTTAGCCTTTCTTTTTTTGACTATGGTATTTTTTGAGAGGTTTTTTTTAGAAGATCTTAAAATTAAAGAGCATTTTTTCAAATGAAATTAAAGAGCATTTTTTTCTTAAAATAGGGGTTTTCTGATATTTTGAAAGTTACGAGGCGTTAATTGTCCATATTTAGCCTTTCGTTTTTTGACTATGGTATTTTTTTTTTACTAATGTCATTATTATTTTTTGTCATCAAAAACTATAACTATCAAAGATAATACTTTCGATGGAGAAAAAAACATATATTTATTACTTTCCACCACCGGTTATAACCGACCAGTTATATATTTAAACCTTTTTCAACAGCAAATACTGTAAAATGATCAGAACTGACCAGAAAAAAAAATGATCAGAACTGTCGCTAGCAACTTAAAAAAAAACATTTACTTCGTCTGATTGTAAAAATAAAAAATAAAAGGATTAAATAACTTGTCTAGATGGACTAAAATGAGGAAGAAAAGTTAGAAAATAACAAATAATATTAACTGTATTATACTTCTGCTATTTGAAGGACTTGGTTCACTAGCAACACGATCTGGTAAAGCTAACTCAGAGTCGGTAGGATTTTTTTTTTTTTTTTATAACTGAAGGCCGTCAGCTGAAATTGAATTCTAACCAAGCTACTTATTATAAATACCTACACAACTCATCCATTTCCAGTTAAACACAGTGAGACTAAACCCCTATAAGATGACACTTTGTATAAACTCCAAATTCAAGAACCAAAATAAAACATAACTGCAACAATAAAGTACTAACAAGCTTATTTACAAGTTTATAGTCATTATTTTGTCCTCTCATATATATACAATGGACACTAATTTATTATTTCTTCATACATGTCTTAGGCAAAAATTTCTACTCTAGTTATGTCGATGCGGTTTATTTACAGATGGCCTTTGAAAAAGCTTACATAAGTCCCAAGGTTCGGCTAGAATTTGATCACTCTTCTCTGGAAAAAGTTTTGATGTCATGGTTGAGGAATTTTTTTTCTACCATCTGCAGATTCCAGGTCGCTCTGTTCGACACAAATTTATCATCTCATTGTATTGTGATGCATGAACAAATCCCCACAACTGCAGATCCAAAAAAATAAAAGTTAAATGTCCAGAAAACCAAATGATTTAACAGAATAACTGATGCCTGACATTGAAAATTAATTTTTAGGAAGGAATATTCTTTTAAGGATTTGATTTCATTTTAGTTAACATGTTTTAGTTGGACTTGTTATTTAGTTTTATCTAACAGTCAGAATAATTAGATATGATTTTTGTTATCTTCGTTACCTGGGAGTTTGTTTCATTTAGGATGTTATCCTACAAAAAACAATGTATTACTTCCTTTGAAAATAAAAAGTTGATGAATAAAAGTTGAGTTTCCATTCAAAGTCCATCTTTTTCTTTCCTCATCAATTACAGCTGAAATTTCTGGATCCAACTTCCAAACTAAAGGCACTTTAAATAATTCGTTACATTACTCTTTTAAATACAAACCTGAACACAGCAGTTATATACAAACTTATAAATATTTAGACAAGGCGCACAATTAGATAAAAGTTTTAAGGGCCAGGCCTACCAGAATAAAAGAGAAGTTAACGATTTTAAATAAATTTGGGCTTAGATGTAACTTCATAAATTAAAGGTAAGGAGTTATTTTGCATGTATGCTGGTGGTTTTGAAAAATTATGGTGTTGTAGATTGAACTTATTTAACTTGAAAAAGTAAGTACAGTTTAATTTAGAAGCATGTGAACCAAAGTGTTGGACTCGCCATTATCAAATACAAGTTGTCGAAATCCCAGCATACAAGACAATATAAAACTACCCTTTTAGCCTTTCTGCTAGGTTTTTGCATAAAATATAGATGCTGTTATTGTTACAGTTTTATAAGCTTCATATACATTTACATTATTTTTGTACTCACATTCCAATTTTCTTACTGATGGACTGCTTGTACATATGATGAATAATTTATTTTCATCATGCACTCTAGAAGATTGACACTTCTAAATATGTAATTTTGTGATCTGACTTGATTGTTTAAGGGGTATTATATCGGTTATTCAAGCTTATAGTTTGCATGATTCCAAAAGATGAAAGAGTAGTCTTGATACATTTTATGGTTTCACATTTTTAAAATTTCTACTTAAAAAAAAATATAACTAAAGATAAACTTTTCCCATAGGCCAAATTGTCATTGTATAATCCACTTCTTCATCATAGAGCTACGTAGGCAAGCTGTTACGTCGTTTGTAGGTCAAATGTGGGACAAAAAATTGAAAAAGAAAAAACATTGAAAAAGGGAAAACCTTTGTGAGGAAAAAGACTGTGGTTATACCTCAACTTCCTTTACTACAAAGTCTTCAGAATGCGCCAGGCAAGAATTGGCAAAGGTCTCTGAAGCAGAACTTGAACCATTCAGCCTTTAGAGAAAAAGATAAGAATTAATATCAATATTAGGACTAACATTTTACTTTTACTATTAAAGTATGACATGTATAAAATAAAATCCACAGTCAGTCCAATATCAAGATAAAACATTCATAAAGCAACGGGTAAGAATCTCACAGGTCTCCATCCAAGTATAGAGCAAAATGACCACCTCCACCCAAGGCCAAGAAATCAGGTGAGCAATGAGTGAAATATCGATTAGCACCTGCATATTTAACTATAATAAGATATCAAACTTGTTATGTATGTTCTATTATGATAATTTTCTCCATATTTTCATCAACATTATTGCCTGGGCATATGATTTTGGGTTCACATGCACAAGTATCCAACATAAATATGGATGAAGTATGTAGTTAAAATTTAAAGGAAGCAATCAACTGAGTCATGCTGCTCCCTCATCCATAAGGTCTGTCAGATGGGAAATTATGATTCTCAGTGGCTAGTAACCTTGACAAACTTAGTGCTTTAAGTCCTTGGATTTTTACCCAGATACTTGTTCCAAAAGAAGATGTCAGGTGCATGTTTATAGCTTCGGATATGGTGTTTGTATATGAGATAATTGAAAGGAGAATTTTAAACCCAATAATCAAAGTTATGAGCTAAGAGGTTATCAGATCTAAAACTGGTACAGTTTTTGACTAGACAACCCCAAGTAGCTATAAACTTTGAATACAAGTAGCTATGAACTTTGAATACAAGTAGATTGGGGGACAGCCTGACAAATGCAACCTTAAGCCCTAGTTGAAGAGAGTGTATCCATGACTTAAAAATTAAAAGAAGAAAGTTTCAGCTATATTTTATGGATCAAAGACTGAAGCAGTATGCTCACTACAGGTAGGTAAGATGCAAAAGTAGCAAAAAAAAAAAAAAACAGTATAAATAAATGAACTGTGACGAAACTTCATTGTAGAGGGTCTGGCCATGGATATGAACAAATGACAAAGCACACTCATTTAAAAAATGACCATAATGGCCCATAAACAGTAATATTTCTACTTAGATGCATCAAATGTATTTCACCAGTGTAAGCAAACCAATCTAGGACAAATTTGAGTATTACAGACCTAAGGTCATTCCTACTACCTGTAGAGTGAAAAATGACAGGGTGGCTAGATCGGTCAGTGAAGACAAAGCTGCTATTTGTTCCCTGCAACTTAAAAAATGCCAAGTGAGAAAGTTATACCAGAAAGAAGCAAGAGTTGTCCAAGAGCTGTCAATGATCGATCGTCAAGGAACAATAAGAAAATTCAGCGTTGAGCACCTGATACTTTCTCCTGTCAGCAGGTTGAAGTGGTGCCTCAATTAGACCACCAAATACTGCACCTTTCTGATCCCCGACAACCTTAAAATGAAAGGGAAAAACAGATATCATTGACAAGCAAATGTGGAATTCTTGCTTAATGGTGAAATATGGTAGCACAAACAGGATGAGAAGTAAAACAGTAATTTGTATTGATGAATGAGTGAATATAAACTATACATAAAACTCTATATAACAACAATCCAGAACACACTAACTTGAGTATGAGTTATAAATTACCTTTACAGAGCAAATCAAATATGAGAAGGGAAAGCAATTGCAGATAGAACCTCACAATCGACTTTATGTCTTTGTCCTCATTGCTGTTATATTCTTTCATCTACTGGATCAGACACAGAGAACCATCAAAGTACCTACTGCTGATACCGTTGTTAGCATAGAGTTAATAGTGCCGTTATTTCAAATCCACAGAATAAATACAAAACTCCCAGGTTGATCTGCAATGCCTATACCTCTATTTTTTTTGGGTGCTTCCAGGAGTCAGTAAGAATTAACTCTTACCTTCTAAGATCTATTCTTCAAACAAGTCTTGGATGTCAGTTGAGACTGCTATGTTGGATAGAACAGGGTACGGGTACTGATATAGGTGCGAGTAAGGGTACAGGACGTGGAAATTTTGTAAAATGTAGTGTATTGGGACACGCGCTCTCGCACACACTTTTAATAATTTACATGGGACCATTATTTTTTTCAATTTATGTGTTATTAGAATAAAATTTCTATCACATATTTAAGTTTCCTTGGTAATGTTGTCTTCTTCTCTTTTTTTCTTTTTTCTTTTTTTGACAAGCATTGTAAACTAAAACGTATATCATATAATTGAGTACACATCTGAATAAGTACACACATGTATCTAAGGAGTGCCCATGAAGTTTTGGTATGGATAAGTGTCAGGTACGTGTCGGGTACAGCTTCATGCTAGAAGCACCCCGGTAACAGAGCTTGAGAGGTAGGTAAACCAAGCTTTTGTAACCATGCAATTTAAGCTCATGTAACCAAGGAGCATTAGTTGAATTTTAATAGAATGAGAAAGAGTTTGGACAAATAACTAAGATATAATACTTGTTTCTTGGTCCTATCCAAGATATTGACTGCTACACTTTCATTGAGTGGTTTAATTAACTTAAATAAAAAATAAGGATACAATTGTAGCTGAATAAAAACAATGACCAATACAGAAAACATTATCATCATATTTCTCGAAGAAAACAGGACAACCATCTTTCTACTCTTTTAAAGAAGTGGAGAAGGGAACACAACCCACAGATTCACTACAAGAATACTTCTGATGTTATACAAGTTTTTTTTTAGCAAAAGCAACTTTTTTTGTGAAGTAATCAAATATAAAAGATAAGCATATGGGTGAACACACATAGCATTTTGATCACCAATAATTTTTTTTGAGGGTTTTCCATCAGAGGAAACTCAAGCAAAGAGATAAGCAAACACCTCTCAAACCATATTTCATAGTACATGCCATAACATGACTATGAGCATAACAAAAGGTTTGTGTCAACAACAGGCTCCTTGTTAAGGTGCACATCAGTCCACTTTCACTGGAGTTGCCCCATTTTAAAATGTAGTATGAGGAGAAACTACAGCCTTAATACTGGCTACATAGTTAATCTCTAGTCCTTTTATAAACATAATTTCAGTGTTGATCAAATATCATGAAATATTTGTATATCAGGCGCAGACCCAAAACCATTGTTTAAATATCCCCGACATGGCCCAATATATCCCCCGATATATCTTTTACAGGGCTTGCCGCAACCGATATGATCTTTAAATATCCTTTACCTCTTTTTGACTATTTTGGGTGATATATCCCCGATATGGCCGATATATGAGCCGATATGTAGACCGATATATCTTTTTATATAGCTTGTCGCAAAATAATATGCGGTGTTTGGTAATATTTGGGCGAAATAGCATGATTTCCCCATTATATCAAATGACATTTTGTCCTAAAAAAATCAGATCAAATGTTGCAATGTTGATTTGTACTTTTGTTTGTTTTACAAGGTTGATTAATGATCCTAAACATATATTATTCACATTTTGTATGCTTAAATTTTATTACATTATGTTAAGATTACATTTTAATGCATTATACTATGTATACAAACACTCATTATGGCATTCTGATATTTACTACATATCCCCAATATTTTCCCGATATCTGCAATCCGATATGAATTTTAGCCATCCGATTTTCCCCGATACCCGATATTTAAAACTTGCCCAAAACATCACAATTCCATGTTATTTAAACATGACATTTTAATACAATTTGCTCCTAAAGATCAGACAAGAAGTCTCCGTTAGTGCAGTGGTAACTAGGGGCAAAGAAAAGATTACAAAGCATTGTTGCATGTGAAATTTGACACTAGGTTATATGCAATACTGACATAAGTTACAATTGCAAATTAGGCTTATAGCCTAGAAAACTAAAGGGGCAAACTTGGAATATTCATCTTGTTAGAATTTATACATCCTCTGATATATAATATCCTGTCTTTCATGTTCTTATTTTCTTCACCCACTGGGGAATAAAATATAACTATGATTTCTGTAACATCAGAAAACAGAGCATTAAATGTCATCTAGCCCAGCTCAACTAGAATAAGACATAAATTCTTAATAAATCCTGGCAAGAAGACCTACGGGATGTCCAGGTTTCTACTAAAAGAAAATATCACATTATCCTTATGTCCCTTGGATCCTAAATATTCTCAACCTCACTGAATGTTACCAAACTGCTCCAAGCCTGATTAGATCTGATAATGATTCTGGCCACCAAAAAGGAACAGTATGGGTAACCTCACTCCATGCTAAATTAATAACTTTATGCTGAACCAAACATAGCTTGAACTTTATCCGGAACCAGATGTCATATATCATGGCTGTATATCTGTGGCTATTTCTTAACCTCGAACCTTGATATCATCAGGCCTGACCAATAGTGACATAAGTGTCGTTTTCAACCATATAACATGGTAATCCAAATATAATGATGAAGAGAAAGAATGTATTGTAGGGTAAAATATCGTAAATAATGTGTTTTATTAGACAGCTATATAGAATAATACCAACAAAGAGTAACCAGGGCAGAGCATGCTTCTCCGGTACAGTGTTGATAAAGAGATTCCATGCCTCCATGTGCTGCACAAAAGAATGAAAACAACAAGATATATCATGAATATTTGCATCATATCATTAAACTCATTGAAAACCAGAAAAGGGAATATGTTATAACAACTGGATGTTTATACATCACCTATACAGCAGCACCCAATTCCTCCCTTGAGCCAATGCCGGCATTGAGAAGTAAACAGCAGCTCGCAGGTTTTCCGACAGAAGCAACGATGGTTCAGAAATCTCTGGAAGGTTAAAGTCATTTTGGACCTTCACTGGCTTTGGTTCATATTCAACATGTTTGGACTCACTAATTGTGTCACAGGCAATTTTAGGCTCTAAGTTTTGTCGATAACCACTGATCCTAGCTGCTTTATGAATAGCTCTTCCAATAGTTTGCCTTCCTCTTGCAAGGAGACTTTTCCTGCCGACAGCCTCCTTGATTTCTGGCTCTGGTGCTGTATCTCTTATTGCAAAATGGTGCTCATTTAAACCCTCGACAGAATCACTACCAGATTCAGAAGAAGTCAGAAGGGAGACGAGGAATGCTGAGAAAGAGGATGTGTCAGGGCCATCTTCAGTCACAGAGTCGTCCTCCATATCTTCATTTTCTGGGCTTTCTGTCCCATGCTCCTCCTGTATCAACAAAAGAAGATCCTTATATTACACAAATTCAACAGAATAAAAAACCAATTTAATTTCCAAAAGAGAAAATATCATTAGAATTTTAGAAACATGATGTCTGGGGAAAAGTTGTCTAAATTTCAACGGTGAAGTTCAATCTTAAGTTGAGTAGTAGGAACAAGCAAACTACAACCTGAAACTGGTGTCTGGATCATGCCATAAGTCTATGAGTGCTTATTATATAAAAATTTAAAATAATATAAGAATATAGTAAATATCAAAAACAACACATAGGAGAATCCGGTTATCTAGATAAAAACTAATCAGATTATATCTAGGACTGATTAGATCGTTTGAGGAAAGGGACACCAAAACTCAAAAATGCAGGGATTATCATTTCTTGCACTCATTGCAGATTATTTCTACAATGTAACGCTCCCATGTCATCCATGGGAAAAGAATAGAATAGAGTATTGTAACACTTGAGGGTATCCATCAATTTTTTAAGGCAAAAAAAAGTAGGGTGTACTTTTAAAACTAATTTTAAGATGTATGTTAAACAGAAGCCTCCTAAAAAGTTACACAATACAAATCAAGATAGGGAGATAATTCAAGAGGTAGTAGTGTAGATAGTACTAAATACTAAGGTTCTAATCCTTGAGATTAAGAACATGAACTCTTTGGAAAAAAGTACTTTTTCGCTTATAAGCAAGGTCTAGCATTTAAGGACATGTTATAGAGTGCCACAGTGTCACACAAACTGTCATATGCTTATCCAGGAAAAAGAAACTTGGGCCACTAATCACCTGAAAATAGTTTTATAGCATTTTGTGCCCTCACTGGTGATTATGACTCTTCTGTACACATGACACCATACCATATTCTGTTGGCCTTCTTGTTTTGATGATGTTTAACAAACAATTTACATCTAATGTTGTTTGTCTAGTGTTTGTGTTTTCACATTTATTCTAGGCAAACAACGGGTTGAATGATGGATGGAATAGAGCTTCAACGATCATATCCAATAGAGGTTGGCGGAATAGTGGAGTGAAACAATATATATTCAAGTTAAAGATACAAGTTCAAGCTTCTTCCACAAGTGTACCAAGTCAAGCTTATTGAAGATCAAGATCAAGCTTGGGTAATTTAGTTTAGGTTTTTATATTATGTGTGTTGGTACTCTAAGCTCAATCATATACACACATACACGTATTTGGTTTTATATATATAGTCATATATATATATATATAAGTTTTGATTTTCAAGTTTAAATATGAAACAAATACATATTTATATATATACATGTTTGTTTTCATATGGTTAAGTTGTTTTGGTTTAGTTATGTAGATATGAAACAATATATATCTTCATATACACTTTTGTTTGTTTCATATTCTATTGTATTTAGAAAAATATTGTGTTTATGGATTAAAGACTTGTTCACACTATTTTCATATCTCGTATAATGTCTACAAATCCATTCTAAAGTGTTTCCAAGTTGTTTGAACTCGTTTTTGAAAAAACCAAGTTTTTTGTTCATGTACGTGCATGTGTCCGTGCATGTTTTTACAAAACAGATATGTTTTCACAATTGGGAAATGCAATTTGAAAAAAAATTTGTTTACATGTTTATCATCATATATACAAACATTTTTCCAAGTTTTACTAATTTTGGAGTTGTTTTGTTATTTTTAATTGAATTTACAAAATCGTATTTTCAGCAGTTTTTTCAAAAACTGTATATCTATGTTCAAACATTTATTTCTCTTAACTGGGAAGTGATATTTCAAAAATTCTTTCTCTAACATGTTTATCTACATGTCTAGAACCTTCCCTCAAAATTTCATAATTTTTGGAGTTGATTTACTATTTTTAATTGATTTTATAAAGTCAGATACGTAAAATTCCAGCATCTGTCAAAATCTGGAAAAGTACGGTCGACCGTGCTACAGTGTGGTCGACCGCCACGGTCGACCGTCAGCAGTCTAGAGACCAGTTTTGTAGTTTTCTTCTCGCGATCGACCGCCACGGTTGACCGCCGATGTTACCGTTGCACTGTAACGGTAACTTGCTGATTTTTGTTTTTTAGTGGGTTTTTAGGGTTTTTTTGGGTTGTTTTCTTCTTCCTTATATGTACCCCTTTTTCATAACTATTTTTTACTACCAAGAGATGTTTTAAAAGAGTTTAACAAGGGTTTAAGCTTGTTTTGTGTTTGTTTAAAAGAGTGTTTAAGAGTTTGTTTGTGAAGAGAATTTTACAAGAGTTTGAGGAGATCATCAATCTTGTTTGGGCTTCAATCTACATCCCTCCACTCTTGTTTTAGAGAAGTTTTCTTAAACTCTTTATCTAGCTTGTTTATGCTTAATATGTCATATTTATTTTGCTAGATTAAATTGAGTTTAGACTTATTTTTCTCATTGCTTACACACACAACCATTGAGCTTATTGTATTTTCATACTTAGTATAATTTGGGATGTGGGGAGTTTGTAACAATTGAGAGTGAGCTACATTGAGTTCTCATCTATTATAGAGAACATATTTGTTGTTACATTGTTAGTGTTATAAAGTTTTCGGTTTGTGTTTTCGCATTTATTCTAAGCAAACAACGGGTTGAATGATGGATGGAATAGAGCTTCAATGATCATATCCAATGGAGGTTGGCGGAATAGTGGAGTGAAATAATATATATTCAAGTTAAAGATACAAGTTCAAGCTTCTTCCACAAGTGTACCAAGTCAAGCTTATTGAAATATATATATATATATATATATATATAAGTTTTGATTTTCAAGTTTAAATATGAACCAAATACATATTTATATATATACATGTTTGTTTTCATATGGTTAAGTTGTTTTCGGTGAGCTAGAAAACCGAGTGTGAGGAGTGAACGTTGATCGATGAGCGTTAAAAATCGATATTGTGAGTGATTGTAAACGTTGATCGGTGAACGTTGAAAACCGACATTGTGATGTGTAAACGTTATTCGGGTGAGCGTAGAAAACCCGATTGTGATAGTGGATTTTTTCCCGAGAGTGGGGAGCGGAGACGTAGGACGGAAGGTCCGAACTCCATGATCATATTGTGTGTTTCCATTGTTTAGTTACACTATCACTCTTATCATGTTTATATTTATTTCACCCTTGTGTTAGTTTATATATCCTTGCATATATTACCTCTTTGCTAGGATATATCTCTTTATTCATATTGCTTATCCTACCTCACATATCTTGTTGTATTTCATACTTGCTAGGATAACTTGTTAATTAGTTTTAATTAGCATAAAATCGGATTAGATTAGCATAAGACCCTAATCACCCCCTCTCTAGGGTCTAACATATTCATCACTCAAATTTTGAAGGTTAAAGAACTACAGTGATAATCTTGTATTTACGTATAATCACATGAACATTGACAATGGAATGAAGAAGTCTAAAGCACTTGGTTATATCCTAGTTTATCAATGTAAGCATCACAAATGGCAGGAAACTATACACTTCATAAACAAATTAATCATTCCACTGGAAAAGAAATATTTCCAGGAAGAACAGTGACTCCTTGAAGAAGAAAAAAGCCAGCAATCCAACCTCTTGGCAAATATTGCTTCAAATAATTCTTCATCTACCGAACTACCTCGTGATGAATCATCATTATATGATTATATCTATGAAAATAACTTCTTTACAGTGAATTATCTTCCCTAAGGGCATCTCCAACCCTTTGCCTCAAAATGGTGCAAATTTTGCACCAAAATGGTGCAAAAGTCACATCTAACAGTAATTCATCTCCAACCCATTGCACCATTTTTTGCACCAAAAAGGAATATTCTCAGTATCTTTCTTTTTATCTACTTTTATATGATTATTTTTTATTCCCTATATTTTTAACTATTTCAACAATTAACCCCACATATCAAATTTTATTTTTTCACATATTTTCCAAACAAAATGATTTATTATTTAAAAATTAAACTAATAAAACAATAAAATATTATTTTATTAATTAAAATAACTTGATTGCTAAAATATTATATTTTTATTATTGATATTGCCAAAATATTACATTCAAGAACACAACAGGAAATAAAATACAAGGAAATAATTAAACATTAACAACAATGTAAAAATTACAAATTTAGTATGCACTTAACTATCTGAATTAGTGTATTCCTCCCATAGATGATCTATCAATGCATTACGAAGCGCAATATGAGCATCTTTATCCTTGATTTTTCCGTAACGTGTAATAAATTGAGTAAATCTTGTAGTTTCATCTGCTACCATATCAACTTCTGGTGTTGGTGCTTCCCTCACTTCTTGAATTGGTGCATAAAGATCACGTTCATCCTCGATTATCATATTGTGCATAATAATGCATGCAGTCATTATGTCATGTAATACATGTTTTTTCCAAAAACGTGCTGATCCTGCCACGATTGCAAATCGTGATTGGAGAACTCCGAACGCACGTTCTACATCTTTTCTACATGCTTCCTGTTTCATGGCAAAATATTTTTTCTTCCTACCTTGTGGCTGTTGGATTGTTTGTACAATAGTAGCCCATTTCGGATATATACCATCAGCTAAATAATAACCCATATTATACTCTTTTCCTTGAATAACATAGTGAGCGGGAGGAGCAATACCTTGAGCTAGGTTAGAGAAAAGATTAGATGACTCCAGCACATTGATATCATTATTGGTGCCTGGCATACCAAAATATGCGTGCCATATCCAAAGATCATAATCTGCCACAGCTTCGAGGATAATAGTTGGTGACCCACTACGTCCTGTGTATTGCCCAGACCATGCTGTTGGACAATTTTTCCATTTCCAATGCATACAATCAAGACTTCCTAACATTCCTGGAAAACCACGTTTTTTTCCAATATAGAGTAGCCTAGCAATATCGTTAGCGTTAGGTGTTCGTAGATACCGCTCTGCGAATATTTCCACCATAGCACGACAAAATTTTGTCATACTTTCAATTGCTGTTGACTCACCTATTTTAACGTATTCGTCCGTAGCATCAGCTGGTAGACCGTATGCCAACATGCGAAAAACAGCTGTTACTTTCTGTAACGGTGATAATCCCATTCTACCAAGTCCATCACTTCGTTGTTGGAAGTAATAGTCATGATCTTTCACTGCATCAACAATACGAAGGAACAAACTTCTTGACATCCGATATCGACGACGAAACATATCTTCTCCAAAACGTGGATTATCGGCAAAGTAATCTATGACCAAATTCTGATGCGCATTTTCTCGATCGCGGTTGATCACTGCATGACCGGGAATCGAGCCACCATGGATCGGTTGGTAGTTGTGTTGACGTAAATTGTTAACGAGGATCATGTTGTTGTTGATGTACTCACAAATTACTTCTTCGGTTTCATCAATCTCTGCAATGATATTGGACAGAAAATTATCATCATCCGAAGATGAAGATGATGATAAGTATGATGGACCTCCAACATCGAAATTCATTTTTGAAGTAAGAAAAGAATGACTGAAGTATGCAGAAATGGAGAATAATAACTTTAACACAACAATGAGTAATTGTGTTGATGTACCTAATCTAGTATGCTATTTATAAAACTTTGCTTAGCTGTATACATTGAACAATGTGTAAAGTTGAGCTGATTTTAGGAAATGCTTTCCAGCTGTTATCAATTTGTCACAAAATTCAAATTTGCTTTTAGCTGTATACGTTGGACAATGTATAAAGCTGACCTGATTTCAAAAATTGATTCCCACTTGTACAAAGCTTTCACACAATTCAAGGAGAGCTAAGCTGTGTATACGTTGGACAATGTGTAAAGCTGACCTGATTTCAAAAATTGATTCCCACTCGTACAAAGCTTTCACACAATTCAAGGAGAGCTGAGCTTTGTATACGTTGGACAATGTGTAAAGCTGACCTGATTTCAAAAATTGATTCCCACTCGTACAAAGCTTTCACACAATTCAAGGAGAGCTGAGCTGTGTATACGTTGGACAATGTGTAAAGCTGACCTGATTTCAAAAATTGATTCCCACCGACAACGTTGGATAATGTGTAAAGCTGATCAGTTTGTACAAAATGATTCAATTTCAAATGTTGACCACCGACAAATTCAAACCAACCGCAAATTCAAATTCAAATTCAAATTCAAATTCAAACAAAAAAAACAAATTTGGATTGGCTATAAATAACATTCATGAGTTCTACTTCAAACCACCCAATTCGAAGTATTTCTGATCTCCAAACCAACCACTTTTTACAAAAAATGTCTGTTCGATCAACTGGGTACACGGTTACTGAAGATGTGCTCCTTTGTCAAGTATTCTTGGATATTTCTCAAGACCCTATTATCGGTAGAAACCAGTCTCGAGATGCATTTTGGTCTCGTGTGGAGGACAAATACAATGAACTTCGAGATCAGCATTTTGAGATGCGTACGAGCCGATCAATTCGTTCTCGAATGGAAATTATAAGTAATGAAGTAAGGAAATTGAATGCGTGCTTGAGACAAGTAGAGAATCTGAATCCAAGTGGTGCTTCAGATGAAGATATTGTAAGTATTCTATTAATTATCGTTTGAATTTTATTATTATTGTTGAAATACATAACTTGATGTTCACTATAATTTACAGTTAGTTCGAGCAAAGATGTTATTTATGCAAGAACCGAAGTACAAAAAAGGTTTCAAATTTGATCATGTCTGGAATATGGTTAAAAATTTCGAAAAATTCAAAGATGATGTCCCCACAGCAAGACAAGTTGGTCGAAGACAATCCCAAAGTGTGAACTTCGACTCGTCACAATCAGATAATCCCACTCCGGAATCTCCTATATCAACATCTCCTGGATTGTCATCATTTACTCCATCTGAACGACCTATTGGGGTAAAAAAAGCTAAATTGAAAAGGAAAAATGATGATCATGAGTCAAGTGTAGTGGACTCCATCGAGACCTCCAACAATCGACTTATAGACAGGTTAGACAAGGCGAGCTTGGACAGGCAAGAAGCATTTGATATCGAACGAGAAAAGATAGCCATGAAAAAAGATAGAGATGAATGGAAAATTATAATGAAAGATTTGAATTCCATTGCTGATCCAAACGTGCGTGAGTACGTTCGAGCTCAACAGATTAAAATAATACAAAAAAGAAATCAACAAGAACAAGGGTCTGCTTCTAATTTTGGCAATTATTTTAATGATATTGGACACTCTGGCCCCGATCTACCAGATTATTGAGAGTTGCTTGTCCATCTTAAGTAACGTCACCATGTTTAGTTGTATTTTATGTTTTATTTTAATGAAGTTTTATATTATGTGTGTCAGTTTTTATATGTTATGTATTTCAGATATGTAATTTATATTTGAATTATGTATTATGATTGCTCTTTAATGAAGTTTTATATTATGTATGTCTAGATTTTAATATTATAATTAATAATAATGTCTGTTAAATTTTAGCATTTTTTTAATTTAAAAAAACCATAATTTATTTTGTCCACATTATACAATTGGGGTGAAATTATAAAATTTAAATATTATTAGGGTTGTTTTATATATTTAATGAAACAATTGGAGACAAATTGTAAATATATAAAAGTATGAGGTTTAAAAAAAAATTGAAAAATAAAAAAATAAAAAAATAAAAAAAAACAGTAATGGGGGATGAACAGTGCGACGCCAAATATAGCGTCGCGCTGTTCATCCCCGTCAAAATGCGGCAACAAATGCCGCTCCATTGGAGCTCCCACGCAGCGGCATTTTCCCTTTTCGTCTCAAAATGCCGCTGCGTTGGAGATGGTCTAACATTGTAATTGCTTTAGAACTCACAAAGTATTAGCATCTCCATATAAATTCAGCAGAACAAGTATTTTGTTTATTTCTAATTCAAAAATCCATCCTTTTCACTTTCACTTCTTAAATGTAGATTTACTTAAGTACCAACTAAACAATCAGTAACATTGATATCTTCCAACTTTCTATAGTACCCCACAGAATCCAGTGAGATTTAATTTAAATCACAACATAAACATCAACTGACCAGAATTAATGAAACCCATTTCTGAATAAAAGCCAGTAAACATTCAATCAAAAGTTTTCTCAGAAAATCCCAACATATCATCATTCAAACATGAACATAAACCATACCAATCTCAGGAAAAAAAAGGTCCTTCAATCAATCCACAAGGTCGGTTTGTAATATTCTATTCATCAGTTCATCTGGTCATAAAAAAAAGAAAACGATCATAAAAAGGGGGGAAATTTAACTTACGGTTTTAGACCTCGGCGAGGGTTGGTCGGAAATGGGATTGAGGAGAACAGTGGTGAGATCAGTGACAAAGTGTGCAGCTTTGCTTCGAAGGCCCATCGAATTCCAATTATTGCTATCGAGAGAGAGAAAATCTGACTCTGTTTCTTTTATTCTCCTTTTTTTTTCTCTCTTTCTTTTCGCCAAAAGTCCTCTATACTGTGGCTTCGGGGCATGGGAGTCTGGGAGAGGTGAAGAAGAAGACAAAAGCGGAATTAAAGAATTAGACCAAAAGAGGCACCCGTTTCAGTTTACAGAGGCAGGAGTGGCTCCCACGTGTCAGAGAGACGGGTGTGATGTGTAATGGGCGTTTGAAAATATGTAACCATGTTATTCAGTTTTGCCGGCGGCAGAATTGGTAAGAGCCCCCAGTATTTTTTGCCTTAAAAACCAGAAAGATAGACAATTAGGGGGTGTTTGTTTCACTTTTTTTTTGGATATAGGGTGGATTTCAAATTTTGGGATGTAAAAAGTGTTTTTTTTGAGTTTTGGTATTCCATAAACTTTGTTTGTTTCACTTTTTTTTGGGATATTGAATCCCTAAATTATAAACAAATAATATATTTTTAGGATTTGTGAAATCCTCTTTTTTGTTTCAACTTCTTTTTGTGATATAAGGTGGATTACAAGTTTTTTGGGTTTTAGAATTCCATAAACCATGTTTGTTTCAAAACCAATTTTGGGATATTGAATCCCCAAATAATAAAAAACTATTATATTTTAGAATTTGTGAAATCCTACAATTGAGAGAGGATGTAGGTTGGATATTGATGTATTAATGCTTATAATATAAGATTAATATAAGATTAATACATCTATTCCTCTATAGTTATAGGAGGACCCAAGAATCACTGTTCATGCTTTAGTAAATGTTGCAGTAAATTATCATTGTTCATGCTGTAGTAAAATCTGTAGTAAATTACTGTAGCATTATATATATTACATATAATATTATATATGTATATATATTATATATAATATTATATATATATTATATATAATATATAATATATATAATATATATTATATATTATATATATTATATATTATATATATATATAGTATATATTATATATATATATAGTGATTATAATATATAATATATATAGTATATATATATATATATATATATTATATATATATATGATATATATATGCGTAGGTATATATATATTATATATAGATATATATATAATATATAATATATATAATATATATATATATATATATAATATAAATATATATATAATATATATATAATAATGATATGATTATAATAAGTATAATATAGATAATAGATAATTTTAATATATAATATATATATATTAATATATATAATATTATACTAGATATATTATAATAAATAAATATATATATATATAATGAAGTGATAATATATATAATAATATATATATAATATAGATAATATATATGTAATATATATACATAATATATATATATATAATATATATATATATAATATATATAATATATATATATATATATATATATATATATATATATATATATGTATATATTATTTATAATATTAATAAATATTATATATATATAATATTATATGTGTTATATAATATATATAATTTATATATAATATAATATATATAATATATATATATTATATATTATATATATTATTATATAATAAAAATATAATATATATAATATTAGATAATTGTTATATATTATATAGTCACTGTTCATGCTGTAGTAAATGCTGCATAAATTACTGTAGCATTTATACAGTATATATATGTATTACCTATAATCATAGTATAATATTATATATATTATGATATATAATATATATTATATATAATATATAATGTATATTATCATTATATATAATATCATTATATAATATATATTGATATCATATATATATATATATATAATAATAATATATAGAGCCACAATGAATCATGTCATGCTGTAGTAATTACTGGTAAGGCGATTGATATATATATTATATAATATTACATATAATATATATAGTATATATATTAGCGCATATAATATTATATATATAATATATAATATATATAGAAGGACCCAATAATCACTGTTCATGCTGTAGTATTCCAAATCCCAAAATATTATATAATATTATAATAATATATGTTATTAAAATATTATATAATATTATAATATATAATTTATAGTATTTCAAATCCCAAAATATTGATGAAACAAACAAAATATTACAAATTTTGGTATTCCAAATCCCAAAATATTGATGAAACAAACAAAATTTTAGAGATCCCAAAACATGTAAAAAATTTTATGGATTTCAAATTCTATGGTGAAATCCATATCCATAAATTTTGGGATGCAAAACAAACACCCCCTTAATGTTATCTCTACCATTTGGAGATACAGTAAAATACTATAGTTTTTTTATGGGCAGTTTTCCTAATGGTTGCCCGTGGGCACTCGCTAAGATTCGAGAGAGATAGAAAGAATGGATTAATGGGAGAAATTAATGCAAATCAGACAGCCATTTGCTATCCAATTCTTTTTTTTCTCTCTCATCTATTAATGAGTGCTCATGTAGAAAAACCGATTACTTTTACTAAAATATAATGTAATTATTTTCTGTTAAATAAAATAAGTTACATTTTTGAAAAACTACAATGACAAAAAAGCCCCAAAATCCCCTTCCCCCTCGTGACCAGTCTCCTCCTCCGTCAACATGGGGTCTTTAATCTCCTCCAAAACCTCCATTTCTCCTCAATTTCTCCTCAAAAAACCCCATCAAAAATCCCCATTTCTCCTCCTCCGTCAACGGATTGACTTTCCCAACTCGATCCCACCGCGAAAGCAGCATCACCGCCGACGGATCGACTTTCCCAACAGATCGACTTTTCCAACTCGAGATCCCCATTTCTCCTCCTCCACCAAGCCACCGCCTTCCCCTAACTCAGGTAACGATCTCAGCCCATTCCAAGCTCGTTACAAGTTTTGATTAGGGTTTTTGTCGGTCTTTTTTTTTGGATTTATAGCTTGATTACAAGAACTAGGGATTTGATGCTTGAAATGGTCAACAAAGGCTGACTGTCGGTCATTTTCTTGGATTTAATTAATTCTTTTGGTCTCGGTAGCCTTATACTCTTTTCTGAACATTAGATTGAATAAGTTCTTGATTGGTGGTTTGGTGAATGGTTTGGTGAATCAGGACAGTGATTGAATAAGTTCTTGGATTTAATTAGCCTTTTAATTATTATTATTATTTTGCTTCTTGTTATTAGTGAATCAAGACAGTGATGTGGGAAACAAATTTGGTGAATGGTTTGGTGGGATGAAGAATCTGTATCTGCTGAAGGGGTTAATATCTTGTTAAATTTTTTATCTTCTATAATAACATTCAGTTGTCAGATTTAGTGCAAGGTTTTCTGTTGTCAACGTTCTTTTCTCTTTTTTTTAAAGAAACTAAATGTACGTATTCAATAAATGAAGATGTGGAGAACCTTAAAACACTATGAGATGCTGGAATTTGTTCATGAAAAGGTTCTTAGGCATTTATTTTCAAAAAAATATGTCCATAATATCTATACTGTTAGTATGCAAAACTTGCTGCATCTTAATCTGCATATATTTTTAACATGGTTAATTGCAGAATGGATAACTTGGGCACTGAAGCTAATGAAGTAAACTTGGATGACGATGATTTTATATATACTCCTCAAGTATCAGATGAGTTGAGGCCAAAAAAAGGACAAGAATTTGACACAATAGATGATGTTGTGACATTCTATAATGCTTATGCTAAAGCAGCTGGGTTTAGTGTAAGGTCTTGGACTACTCAGAAAGAGCCGGGAAGTTGTGAAATAAGAAGGAAGGAGTATGTTTGTTTTAAACAAGGAAAATCTCTAAAAATCGCGGATGTTGGAAAGAAAAGACGTCGAGGAAGCTTAGCTGAGGATTGTACTGCCAAAATTGTTGTTTTAAAATCAAACTCCGGAAAATACATTATTACTGTTTTTAATGAGGAGCACAACCACCCACTATCAACACCATCAAAGGTTCATCTTTTAAGGTCCCATCGTAACGTTTTAGCCGTAACAAAGTCTCTAACTAAACAGTTATCCATGGTGAATATACCTCAGCATCAACAATTCACTTTACTTGGAGTACAATCTGGAGGTATAGAAAATATTGGGTGCACTCAAAGAGATTTGTATAATCATGCAAGGGATATCCGTGCTGGTTTGAAGGGGCATGATGGTGAAATGTTTTAGAATATTTAAAATTGGAACAAGGAAAGAATCCCTCATTTACTTTTCAAATTGAGGCCGATGAGGAACAAAAGATTACTCGTTATTTTTGGTCCGATGCAAGATCAAGGCGGGCTTACAAATTTTTCGGTGATGTTGTAATCTTTGATACTACTTACAACACTAATCGCTATGGCTTTATATTTGCACCAATAATGGGGGTTAACAATCATGGTCAAACCATTGTTTTTGTTTGTGGATTTTTAAATCACGAAAGCATTGATGATTTTGTATGTTTATTTAATTAATTTTTGGAAAGTATGCCTGGTGGTGCCCCGAAGATGATTATTACCGATCAAGACCCAGCGATGACTAAGGCATTCCCTATTGTTCTTCCAAATACTTTTCACAGGTATTATAGTTTGTATATATTATTGAAAATATTTATATACATAGCCTTTCTTTTTAACACTTTTTTAATTCTTTTGACAGGTATTGTAGTTGGCATATATTAATGACGTTTTCTGAGAAAATTGATGCAGTGAAGTATAGTATTTACAAAAGTGAGTTCTCGGCTTGCATTTGGAAATCAGAGACTCCTGAAGAATTTGATTTACAATGGGAAAGTCTGATTAAGAAAAGTGGGTTAGAAGGAAACAAGTGGTTGCAAAACCAATATGAACTTCGGTCAAGATGAATTCCTGCATATGTAAATCACATTTTCTCAGCAGACATGTCAAGTAGTCAACGAGCAGAAAGTGGACATGCATTCTTCAAGAAATTTGTTTCGAAGAATAATTCATTGGTGGATTTTATGATACAGTTTGGCAGGGGACTAGTACGCCAACGTCACGAGGAGTTGATGGCCAATCACAAAGACTTGATTGAGAAACCTAAACTTAGAATAAATCATGACTTTTTGGAGCAAATGGTTGATATTTACACTAATGAGATGTATTACAAGCTTGAGGCTGAAGTGTGTGACAGCTTTAACTACAATTTGTAGTTTGTTAGGGAAACCGACAATCGTCGTGTGTATCAAATTCAAAGAAAGAAGCTCGCAACAAGCAAAGTCCGCGAAATCGTTTACGACAAGGACTTGGATTTGGTTTCTTGTAGTTGTAAAAAGTTTAAAAGCGCCGGAATCGTATGTACTCACATTATCTCCTACTTGATGAAATTTGATGCTGAAATATTGCCCGATAAATACATCTTAAAGAGGTGGACTAAGTCTGTAAAATCGGGGACAGTGGTTGATGATAAAGGTATGTAGATAAGCCCTGACAATTCTTATCTTTTAACACTGAGTCAATTTATCCAATCATCTTTGGAATTAGTTGACAAGTCCCTTGTATGTGAAGAAACGAGGAAGATGTTTACCGATGGAGTGCGTATCATTAATGAGCAAATCGACCAATTCATTAGTAGCCACATGGTTAGTGGCCGCACGGTTGCAAAGAGCTTCACCAAGAAAAATAATCAAATGAGTAGTAATTTAATGGATGATGGTACTAGTGTGCAGGATTCTTGTACTTTTCAAAATAGTTTCAATGAACCCGATCAAGTGCGAGCAAAAGGGTGCGGCAAAAGGTTGAAGGGAGGAAAAGAGAAAGCAATGGCTAGAGCAAAAAATAAAAAAGATAGATGTTACCACGGGTGTGGTAAAGTAGGCCAATCACAAGATAAACGAAATTGTCCGGCACTCACAAATCCGTAAGTAGTAATTCCTTTATTATTTAAGCATTTCTTATTCTTCACCTTCTATTATCCCCTTGGTGTATATATATATATTTTCATTATAATGTAGGTCTTCTACATGCGGTGATACAAATTGGCAAGAGGGTAATGGGTCATCAAGTGAAGATGGGGATGATGTGCTCATATGAAGACGGTCTTCATCTGAATCTCGTTTTAATGTATGTTATCTTGTACACTCCTTGTTTTTATTTCAAAGTGCTAGATATAAATAAATGGTATATACAACTGAAATAAATCAGGGTTCATAGTCTCAAATTAAACTATATACGTGCAATTTGTTATACATAGGTATACATCCCTCCTTATTGGTAATTGTTTGTATCTTTTACTTAAAGACTAAACGCACTCAATGGGGAGTTTGTTATTTAGCATGTTAAGCTGAATATATCCTAATAAATTGTAGCGTAGGAAATTTTTTTAAGATTACTGGACCAACTAGGAAAATGTTTATGCATATAGCCTCTGATTTACTCTTAACTAGTAACTAAAGAATCGAAGGAAATATTCTTTTGAAGGCTATGTACACTCATTGAAGACTATGCTGGATTAATACTTGAAACGTATGTACCCTTAATTAGGAATTAGTTATAGACTTACTATGACTAACACACAAAAGTTATTTTGCACAAAAGGATTTGTTGCTGTTAATTCACTTTTAGTTTACTTAAAGACTACATGCACGTAAAAACAGTGGTGGTGTATTTTTGTAGAAGATAAGAGGGGAGCATTGATATTTTTAATTTGTGTACTACGTGAGTAGTAGAAAAGGTTTTTGTTTATACAGAAGTCTGTTATATAAATATGCTCATTATTGATTAGTTTTCTTGGTGACACCTAAGTGCAGAAATCTTGAGTTCTGTAAAGTAAAAAAAACCTGACACTTATACATTGTTTCTCATATTTCTCTTACATCTGCTACAGTCACCATGTTCTTGATGAAGCCGAAAGATCCCTACACAACGCTCTGTGTGTTCATTCTCGAGGGCATTACAAGCAATTCCAACTATTATAGCTGACAATGCTGGTTTGGACAGTGCAGAGTTGATCTCGCAGCTTCGTGCTGAACATCACAAAGAGGGCAGTAATGCTGGGGGCTCTTTTTGGCAGAAATATGATCAATCAGATGTCTGTAATATTATTATGCTTTCTGCATTTGTGCTACTTCTTCTTCCGAGTATGTTTGGCAAATTTTAGATCATGAACTGTGACCAGTATCTTTTTGTTGGGTTACGTCTGTAGTTGTTATGTATCTTTGTTGAATCTTCAAGAACATCAGCTCGTGCTACCAGTTTCTCTTGTTCGTGTTATCCTCGTTCGTTTTGTGTTTCAAACACTGCGGACAAATTCTAAATATGCTATTGTATTTGATAAGTTTATGCAAGTGATGTTGTGATAGATGCGCGTCCACGATCTTCATCTGAATCTCGTTTTAGTTAAGTGGATAAAGGATTCAAGATTACAGCAATATTTGCATTGCATCCTCAGGCAAAAGAAACCCAAATTCTAAAATTCTTCGAGTCTGGTTAAGATTTAACATCAGGTCTAGATGAATCTTAACCCAAATTCATAGGCTTTGCTGATTGAAACTAAAAAATGAAACTCTGAGTATTAATTCTAAGGAAAATAAACCTGTAACCAACCAACATTGATGAATTCACTCTCCATCCAACTTGTGGAGCTTTTAGAAAAGGACTCACAAAATTAGACCAGCATGAAGCTTCAAGGCAGGAAAACTTTTACAAGCGCATACATGATTTCATTTCAAATTTAAAACTCATATAATTTTCAACCACGCAAATTGCTTTGACATAAAACTCATATGAGGAAGCAGATATCACTAGTTTATCCAACCAATGCAAGCTCAGCCACAAATTACATCACATGTTTTTTGCAATGGAGAAATTAACAAATACTGCAACGATACATACTAGAAACACTAATATTGTAAACAATGAACCTAATACAAAAGCATAGATAGAGAAAATAGAAGTTTCCCTAAGTTTTTCCTTGTCCTCATCTAGATTATGCCTCACTGGATATCTTTCTTCTTGAGCATACTCAGATGTTTGGACATGCCTCGAGCTGGATGCTGGATCACGAGCGAGTGTGTACCTCTCCCATTCAATCAAAGCCTCTTCGTACATTGCATACCCTTTGAAGGAGGCATTTGGGAACTTATCTACCTGAGATTTGCATTCCTCCCAATTATAAAAAATACCACATCGTCGACCTCTCTTCACAACATAAAACTTTTTCTAGCCATGGATAACCTGAAAATACCCCAAATTGGAGGGTAAACAAATTTTTTTACAAATGATCAGTTAGCAAGCAAAGTATATTTCAAGTTGGATGATTCCCATTCCAACTAGAAAAAACTTCAGGTAGAAAGTATTTCTTTTATAAATAGAGATACATAAATCAATCCAACGAAGCCTTGATAAAGAAACATATCGAAGAAAATATACTCTACTAACAAACGTTCAACTGATTGCTTAGCTCTTCATCCAACTTGAAATATACTTTGGAAGCAAACACTTCTGCCTGTGTAATTACAATAAACTTAGAACACCATATATCTATGGCACTCAGCCACAAAGGCATAGTGGAATGGGAATCATCAGTAATCCTTTAAGAGCATATTGTGATTTATGACCATTTTCTACCATTTGTTACAAATAATCATCAAGGTGCAGTTATTCCAACCATACAGCTGACCACCATCGTGAGCTTCGTTTACTTGCGGACTCACACAAACAAAAACTTCAAAATCACCCACACAAACAAAATCTCAGAGCTAACGTTTGAATCCATCGATGGGTTTCTTGGTGAAAATTTGATGTGGGTGTTAGGATACACCCCAATAAGAACGCCTCTAACGGAGACGCAATACACAAAATAAAGGCACAAGATCAACCAGAGTACTCACAGATATACGTGGTTCACTCCTTCGGAGCTACTCCACGGTGCAACGACGACGCCAAATTCTTTTATATCCCAAAAGAATTGATCCAAGAGAACACCCTCTCTTGATCAGATACACTCCAAGAACTCTCACAAACTCTCTCTGTGTTTTCTCTTACTCTTCTATAAGAGGAGTTGTTTCTGGGATGAGATTTCCTTAAGAGTTTAGGGCCCTATTTATAGTGTTTGGGAAACACTATGCACAAATAAAATATTATCAGTGAGACCCGCCACTAATAATAAAATATTTGTGGGACCCACATCCTTTATAAATTCTCAACAATGGCTGCCACCGAATTTGATTT